AAAGAAAAGTCTGCGAAACTTGGCGTATTAATACTCAGTCAAAGATCAAGGAAAAGTCTGCGAAACTTGGCGTATTAATACTCAGTCAAAGATCAAGGAAAAGTCTGCGAAACTTGGCGTATTAATACTCGGTCAAAGATCAAGGAAAAATTTGAGAAGCCGTGTATGTTATGAATAATTAAAGCGTTTGAGAAACCAAATGTATTGTTAATTAGTCAGAGATCAGGGAAAAACTTTAAAAGTCGAATGTCTTTGTAATTAGTTAAAGATCAAACAACAATTTGAGAAACCGTGTAAGTTTATCATTAATTAACGTCAAAGAGAAGTTCGAGAAATCAAGCTGTTGATAATTAGTGAAATTAATTAAAGATGAAATATAATAAATCAAACGTGTTTCTAATAAACTTTAAGTTGCGAATTTTAAAATGTTTTTTGTGTGAAGAGAGTTTAAAAAAATACGTTTATGATTTGTTCTGATCTTCTCAAATATCTAACTTGGTTGAAACCTACGTACTTTAAAACGATAGACGTTTCTCTAACGATACATCATTATCAATACGATAATAAAAGTACGTGATTTGTTTGCGTTGAAAACATATTAATTTAAACTCGAATTTTTTCTTTGTGTGTTCGTTAAGCAAGAATTGGTCTCTGTAAATCTCATAGGATCCATTTGCGTTGCTCTTGTTGTAGAAGGTAAGAAAAGATATTCGCTCGGAAGGAGTCAGCTACTGTACACAAGAAATGTTTTATCGATTTCTTGTCAATGACGGCTTTAAACACTATAATATATCAACTAAGGTTTTACACTGTTTTCTCGTAATAATAAATTTCATTCTGGAAAAGGTTTAGTAATTACCCGGAAATAAGAGAGGAATTCTCCAAAATATAAATGATTATTTCTAAAGCAGAGACGACATTTTAAACGTAAAATTAACAAACACGTTTCTTCTGCTTACGGGCCTAAACGTGATGAAATCGTTGGTTGTGGAAACACAAAATTATATGTCTTTATTTGGACTCGCTTGGATAGAAATGGAGAAAAACTATAGTCTTGCTCTAGGGGTTTAAGTTCGTCCAAAAACATTTCAGTTTTTAATGTGTGATTTGTTTGTAGCTCAGCAGAAAGTCTGAAGGCTTATAATGGTAAAAAATCGGGTTTCGGTACAACACAGAGAGCCCATTGTGTAACTTCGTGGTTTACAACGAACAACCAAAGCTTCTTGTTTGTTTTATTATAATAATTGTTTTTTAATGCTTAAAATGTTTTACACGATTTCTGAATTTTTCATCCTAAGTTTTATTTCAAGAAACTTCTATAATAACGTTTTTAAAGAAACCTTAGTTCTTATTCTATACACTAGATGGCAAGAGTAAAGCTATTCCTTTAAGAAAGGGAGTCAGCCGTAAGAAAATAAGAAAAACAGCCATCAACGGATCAGTTGGATAAAAATACGAGTTGTCGTTTCCTTCTGAACAGATTACGTTCTATACTTCAAACAATTGTTAATACAGACATACACATTGGTGCAGTGTTATCGCTTTAGCGATTGATATGGGATGAAACATTATGGCTTTCTGGAAGACAAGCTGGTCTTGGAGCTTTTAGAAACAAGTAGAAAATGTCCCTGGGGTACGTGTGGTGCCATAACAGCTCTCCCTTTAGAAGGGGGGTTGTTAGTACCTCGTATACGTTCGGTGGTTTCGGTATTTGTAGAATTGTTTTGCTCTGAAATGTTCAATACTTCTTTATGATAGCCGCGGATGATATAAACTCTGGGTATAAACATCCAGAGACTCGGTAAAGGGGAGGAGGGAGCGCTAGATAACACGTAATAATAATAACTCAGTGGCTTCATTTTTAGAAATCTAATGAGGAATTATTTATAACTAATATGCCAACAAATGTGTATGGATCTTTTCTGGTTTTATTTTTATGCCAACGGGGGGACGTAGCTCCCCTCTAGATCCGCAAGTGGTGTAATCAATGTGATGATGAAAGGATTACCTGAGACCTGTTGAATGCGTATCCATGTAAAATTTATTTAACTTCTTGAATTACCTCTCAATACATATTAATATACTTTGGTGTTTTTCTTTTGTTATAAGGAAGACATCACAAAGGATTGGTGACGAACACATTATCTAAGGAACAGATTTCTCTATCCGTAACAACAAACTTCTGTCTAGTTATCAACAAAACAAACATTTGAATCACCCACTGATGAAAAATAGTCCGCTTCAATTTCAGAAAAAATCCTTTGTATTTAACAAGAAATATATATATACTATGTTTTCCTAGAGGTTATGTCTATGTTTTATCCAGTCTTAAGGGTTACGTCATGAAATAATAAAGTCCGTGACTGTACGCACCGGTTAAAAGGTATGTAAGTCACATTCAAAAACGGTCAAACCCTTGATTTCGACATATGGATATGTCTTCACCAAGAATACCCGCTAAGGTTTTATCGGTATTTAATAACGAATATTTACTTACCGACATATGGATATGTCTTCACCAAGAATACTCGCTAAGGTTTTATCGGTATTTAATAACGAATATTTACTTACCGACATATGGATATGTCTTCACCAAGAATACCCGTTAAGGTTTTATCGGTATTTAATAACGAATATTTACTTACCGACATATGGATATGTCTTCACCAAGAATACCCACTAAGGTTTTATCGGTATTTAATAACGAATATTTACTTACCGACATATGGATATGTCTTCACCAAGAATACCCGCTAAGGTTTTATCGGTATTTAATAACGAATATTTACTTACCGACATATGGATATGTCTTCACCAAGAATACTCGCTAAGGTTTTATCGGTATTTAATAACGAATATTTACTTACCGACATATGGATATGTCTTCACCAAGAATACCCGTTAAGGTTTTATCGGTATTTAATAACGAATATTTACTTACCGACATATGGATATGTCTTCACCAAGAATACCCACTAAGGTTTTATCGGTATTTAATAACGAATATTTACTTACCGACATATGGATATGTCTTCACCAGGAATACCCGCTAAGGTTTTATCGGTATTTAATAACGAATATTTACTTACCGACATATGGATATGTCTTCACCAAGAATACCCGCTAAGGTTTTATCGGTATTTAATGACGAATATTTACTTACCTCGGTGACTCGATACTGAAGTCTGAAGTGGTCTGAGACGAGTTTCTGGAAACCCCAACGTTTCCTGAAGCAAGATATCCTATATGACAGCGGACATCTTTGGTTGTAGTGAAAGCGCTCCTATTGTTTCGCTCGGGCCTAAAAATAATTATGTACACTTTGGGGACGTATAGAAGCAGGAGAGCAACGAGCGCACTGAAACTTATACACAGACACATTGTAATCACGCTGGAGCTGCTTCCAAAATATATAGGGACGAACGCCATCCAAATGACTAAAGTTGTGTACATTGTAAAGCCAATGAACTTAGCCTCATTGAAATTTTCAGGCAAATTCCTTGTTTTCACAGCATAAACTGTACACATTGCGATGAGGAAGAAGTCAAACCCTAACGGAGCGATTATTCCCAAAGTCGTAGTGTTACAAGTTAGTTTTACGCTATCAATGGCTGGATACACTAACTTTGAATCTGCTGGCTCAAAAATTAACATGGCGGCGATGATTGTCCCTTCGATGGAGATAAGAATAAAAGTGATGACAACCTGAGCTGTGGCACTCATGAATCTCGGTTTCTTAGTTATGATTTTCTTTTTACTTCCTGCTAGAATCCGGGCGATGCGATTGGTCTTTGTTACCAGAGCTGCATATATCATCGAGAAGCTTAACCCAGGGAGAACACGAGTGAGAAAACAAGATGTCTGCGTAGGCCTAGCCAATAACACTATGGTTGTAGCGTAACAAAGATACATTCCAACCATGATGATGTAAGATAGTTCCCTGGTGGAGGCCTTGACCACTGGGGTATTGTTATGTCGTATAAACACAATCATCACTACAAAAGTGGCCACAAACCCGAGGCAAGCAATGGTCAATGACACAACAGCAGTGGAGTCCCACCAATGGATGTACTCGACAGAAATTTCGTCACAACCTAGATGAAGAAAAACGCTTGAAAAGAGGCATATTTCGTTACAATATATATTGTTGTGGTATTCTCATATCACACAGTTTACATACATCTAGTTACAATATATATTGTTGTGGTATTCTCATATCATACAGTTTACATACATCTAGTTACAATATATATTGTTGTGGTATTCTCATATCATATAGTTTACATACATCTAGTTACAATATATATTGTTGTGGTATTCTAATATCATACAGTTTACATACATGTAGTTACAATATCACATTTAATGGTAACTCTTACATGATGATCGTTTACTACATGTAGTTACAATATCACATTTAATGGTAACTCTTACATGTTGATTGTTTATTACATCTAGTTACAATATCACATTTAATGGTAACTCTTACATGATGATCGTTTACTACATCTAGTTACAATATCACATTTAATGGTAACTCTTACATGATGATTGCTTACAACATCTAGTTACAATATTACATTTAATGGTAACTCTTACATGATGATTGTTTACTACATCTAGTTACAATATCACATTTAATGGTAACTCTTACATGATGATTGTTTACTACATCTAGTTACAATATCACATTTAATGGTAACTCTTACATGATGATTGCTTACAACATCTAGTTACAATATCACATTTAATGGTAACTCTTACATGATGATTGTTTACTACATCTAGTTACAATATCACATTTAATGGTAACTCTTACATGATGATTGTTTACTACATCTAGTTACAATATCACATTTAATGGTAACTCTTACATGATGACTGTTTACTACATCTAGTTACAATATCACATTTAATGGTAACTCTTACATGATGATTGTTTACTACATCTAGTTACAATATCATATTTAATGGTAACTTTTTGACAGGTTGTTTTTATGACTTACAACTAGTGTAATCATCTATCATTAATACATTCACAAGTTTCTCAGATATTATGTATCAAACTAGACTTTCCTGTTTAAATACATATTATTGGTTGAACTTCAAATTTGTCTTTAGACTTTTCTGTTTAAGGTTAAAGTTCAAATCTGTGTTTAGATTTTTCTGTTTAAACACATATTATTGGTTAAATTTCAGATTTTTCTACAGACTTGCCTGTTTAAACACATAGTACTTTTCTCGTTAAACACCTATTATTGGTTAAACGACGGTACGAATTTCGTAAAACACCTAATATTTTAAAGCCAAACCCAACTAACAAAATGTTATGTACTTGCCTGTTAGATTATCATTGGGCCAGTATCCAGGAGGGCATTCTTGGCATGTGGTTTCATTTGAAACGTATGCATTTTCTTTGCACTTGACACACTTCCAACAGCACTGTACCATTTCGGATACAATGTTCTGAAAACCAAAACAAATATTAATTGAAACTTTTCCCACTAGGACTTGAGTTAGTCTTGAAATTATTTGATTAACGTAACAGAAACTGCACCCACCTCATGATTCAAAACGTCTAACAGAGTTTTTGTCTAGGTAGGATTACAAACGAATCTATTGTTAAAAGAAACTGCACCCACCTCATGATTCAAAACGTCTAACAGACTTTTGTTTACGTAGGATTACAAACGAATCTATTGTTAAAAGAAACTGCACCCACCTCATGATTCAAAACGTCTAACAGAGTTTTGTCTAGGTAGGATTACAAACGATACTATTGTTAAAAGAAACGGGACCCACCTCATGATTCAAAACGTCTAACAGAGTTTTGTCTAGGTAGGATTACAAACGATACTATTGTTAACAGAAACGGGACCCACCTCATGATTCAACACGTCTAATCACTATAGGCTTTGATTTGTAGTATTCTGTATTTGTAGTAGGTTAACTGTTCTGTTTATTTACGTACTGTGTTCTGATCTATTCTGTTAGCTTACTTTTGATCACAAGTCATTGAAATGTCTATGAAAATTTCTATTCTATTATTAATTTCAATGTAATTTTCCATCTTCTGAACTCGAGTCTTGGAAGAAGTAACTGTACACAAAGAAGTAATTTTAATTTCGAAATAACGGACTTTTCGGTAAATAGAAAAAACAGAAAATTGATTTACTTGTTGAGAATAAGACGCAAGGTTGCACGAGGGGCTATCTGCGCTGTTTCCACCGCAAGCAAAATATTCGTAATAACATTAATTGAAAATAGATTAATACGACTATACAAAAACTATATTGAATCATTTCGAAATCATAATATGGAGAAATTCTTTCGTTCGAACTAATTAATTAAAAAATGAAAACCTTGCTGCTTAAAAATTTAATTAGTTAAAATTATTCTGTGTTTAATACGTGAAATACTAGCTGTTTAATCAAAAACTAAAAAGTACAAACGAAGAAAAATGAGTTTTCAACCAATTATTATTATTATTACGCAAAACCTTGAAAGTTCTAAGAAAAATGTAGTATTTTAGCGATAAAACAAAAACTTTCCTTAATAAATATGACGACGCTAACGAATTCGTTCATTTAGGTTTTGTAACCAATTCATTCCAGTATCATCTTATAAATATATATAAAAAAACATCTTATCCTCGAGGATGGTGGCCGAGGAACGTTATGATGTATGATGTATTAGTACTAATGTGGTCATGCATGAAATACTGTGAGGTTTATTAATTATAACCTCATTTATAACTTTACAAGGAAGTGTATTTCAACGTCGTTTAGTTGAACAGATTTACCAGTGAGGCAACAACATTGTTGACTGTTGCCTATGGTGTTTAGATGTTATACGGCATTAAGTGTTGCCCGTGGTGTTTAGGTGATATAAGGCATTAAGTGTTACCGGTGGTCTTTAGGTGTTATATGGCATTAAGTGTTGTCGGCGGTGTTTAGGTGTTAAACGGCATTAAGCGTTGTCGGTGGTGTTTAGGTGTTATACGACATTAAAAGTTACCGGTGGTGTTTAGATGTTATTCGACATTAAGTGTTACCCGTGGTGTTTAGATGTTTTTCGACATTAAGTGTTACTGGTGGTGTTTAGATGTTGTTCGACATTAAGTGTTACCTGCGGTGTTTAGATGTTATACGACATTAAGAGTTACATGTGGTGTTTAGATATTATTCGACATTAAGTTTTGTCGGTAGTGTTTAGATGTTATTTGACATTAAATGTTACCGGTGGTGTTTAAATGTTACACGGCATTAAGCAAGACCAGTGGTGTTTAGGTGTTATACGGCATTAAGAGTTACCGGTGGTGTTTAGATGTTAAACGGCATTAAGTGTTACCGGTGATGTTTAGATGTTATACGGCATTAAGTGCTGCCCGTGGTGTTTAGGTGATATAAGACATTAAGTGTTACCTGTGTTGTTTAGATGTTATTCGACATTAAGTGTTACCTGTGGTGTTTAGATGTTATTCGACATGAAGTGTTACCTGTGGTGTTTAGATGTTATTCGACATTAAGTGTTGTCGGTAGAGTTTAGATGTTATTCGACATTAAGTGTTACCTGCTATGTTTAGATGTTATACGACATTAAGTGTTACCTGCGGTGTTTAGATGTTATACGCCATTAAGAGTTACCTGTGGTGTTTAGATGTTATTCGACATTAAGTATTATCGGTGGTGTTTAGATGTTATTCGACATTAAGTGTTACCGTTTGTATTTAGATGTTATACGACATTAAGAGTTACCTGTGGTGTTTAGATGTTTTTTGACATTAAGTGCTACCTGCGATGTTTAGATTTTATTCGACATTAAGTGTTACCTGTGATGTTTAGATGTTATTTGACATTAAGTGTTACAGGTGGTATTAGGTGTTAGGGTAATAGGTAGTTATAGTTCGTGAAGCTCAGCGCCTAAATTATGAAATTGGTTTCGGAAGTGTTTCAACTCTTCTTTCATACGAACGTGCACGTGCGATTCTAAGACTCAGCCCAACATGTCTCAATTGGTTAGATAGCGTTTTAACAAGAAAACACGGCATATCTCTGGAGAACCATTAAATTAATCGTCGTAGAATTAAACATGCAATATGTGGCAGAAAACACACACACACGTTTTTGTTTTATCCATCCTGAATATACTTCTGCTGAGACGAAAATCCTATGTATAGGAGAAGATTGTTTAACAATAAGTGGCTATTATCTACAATCAGTCACTGGTCAGTTAACGACGCAGGAAATAGGTCCACTTCACCAAGTTTCTCCGAGAGCGTTTTTCACAGGAAGCGGACTGATGACGTCACGTGAGGAAACGCTCGACTAATCACTCTAACTTGTTTTGCCCACAATGCCAAGCGTAACTACGAACACTGGTTCGAGTCTTAATCTATTGTAGACGTATGAAAGAAGATATATAGTTTAATTATATACCTTTATGTTATATTATTTCTCAGCTGAGGTATGTAAATGATATTTTTTTCTATAATTAGTAATTTATATTTTTCGATCTCGCATACCATGGAGAACATAGAAATGGAGTGGACGTTTTGTTAGATTCTTGTCTGTCGTGTTTTCGTTTTGTCTTCTGTATATGTCCACAAACATTTGTTTATTTTCTAAAAGCTTTAAAGACAAAAACCGCACTAAAACTAACACCTGACTAAAGAACGTGACACATGCTGTGAACTGCTATACATTCATGCTTTACTAATTCAGGCATGTTGAGTACACCTCTGATCTTTATGATCTTAACGTCAATGCGATTATAGGTGAACATTTATATCTGATGAACTAAAGCATCGCCTAAGATTATGGATTATGTTTTATCTTAAGTATGATGGAACAAATGAAAGTTTCCGTTAAATATAAACATCATATTCACACTTGGTTACCTTAAGTTACTATTAAACATAAACAGCATATTCACACTTGATTACTTTATGTTACCATTAAATATAAACATCATATTCACACTTGATTACATTAAGTTACTATTAAATATAAACATCATATTCACACTTGATTACCTTAAGTTTCTATTAAACATAAACAGCATATTCACACTTGATTACATTAAGTTGCCATTAAACATAAACATCATATTCACACTTGATTACCTTAAGTTGCCATTAAGCATAAACATCATATTCACACTTGATTACATTAAGTTGCCATTAAACATAAATATAATATTCACACTTGATTACCTTAAGTTGCCATTAAACATAAACATCATATTCACACTTGATTACATTAAGTTGCCATTAAACATAAATATAATATTCATACTTGATTACATTAAGTTACTATTAAACATAAACATCATATTCACACTTGATTACCTTAAGTTGCCATTAAACATAAACATCATATTCACACTTGATTACATTAAGTTACTATTAAACATAAACATCATATTCACACTTGATTACCTTAAGTTACTATTAAATATAAACATCATATTCACACTTGATTACATTAAGTTGCCATTAAACATAAACATCATATTCACACTTGATTACTTTATGTTACCATTAAATACAGGGTGGTCAGTAACGTGTTGGGATTTTATCCTTGGGTCGTTTTATTTGATAACCTTTACAAGATGGCCAGTAAGATGTGTTGTGGTTTGATCCTTGGAAAATCTTATTTGATAACCTTTACAAAATGGCCAGTAAGATGTGTTGTGGTTTGATCCTTGGAAAATTTTATTTGATAACCTTTACAAGATAGCCAGTAAGATTTGTTGTGGTTTGATCCTTGGAAAATCTTATTTGATAACCTTTACAAGATGGCCAGAAAGATGTGTTGTGGTTTGATCATTGGATTTCTGTTCTTCTTATTCTAATAATTAAACATTTAGTTTATCTAAACAAGTTGGACAATACATCTATATATGGTTTTCTAGATTTATCTGTCTTGTTTAAGAAGATTTTGAAGAGCGTGACAGCTCAAAAACGATCACACAATAACCTTTCATTGACATCCATTTTCAATTATTGAACAAAGGTTCCACCACGTCTGACTATACAGTCCAGTAATAAAGGTTCCATAATGTCTAATTATACAGTCCAGATACAAAGATTCCGCCTTGTCTAACTATACAGTCCAGACACAAAGATCCCACCACATCTGACTTTACAGTCCAGACACAAAGATTCCAACTCATCTGACTATACAGTCTAGTAACAAAGATCCCACCTCGTCTAACTATACAGTCCAGTAACAAAGATTCTGCCACATCTGACTTTACAGTCCAGACACAAAGATTCCTCCACATCTGACTATACAGTCCAGTAACAAACGTTCTATCAAGTCTGACTACACAGTTTCACGAATAGTATTTAAGGTGTTTACCTTTACTTCACCACGAGCACAAGGTTTGCTGCAGACAGATTCGGGGGGGCTGTTCCCCTCCGTAATCTTTCCCCACTGGAACAAACGATCAAGTTTCAACACACCGTTAATCCAGGACCCGACTTTAACATAGTCGTACCTTGTAGCGTTCATTCTCTGGTAGTTCATGATGTCGTACCTGTTACAATCAGATTAATAGTAACATTATATTAATGGTTTGATATACTGTTAGTTGATATTAAAAACTGAAAAAGAGAAATAAAGCCTAAGTAAAAGGAAACTTGTAATTTTGAGTGTTTACTTTATGAGATAAAATAGAGAATTTTTCAGATAAATCACATTTTATAGAAATGGAATATTGAGAATATAAAAGAAACTTTTATCGATATATCGATATTTTTAGACATTTAAATCTTAATCAATATGCAGATCAGTCATATCTTGAAACAAGAACAAAACCTCAGAGATCTTGAACAGAGTGTTGTTAGAGTATAACTTGTTAGAGTCCACATAATCTTGAAACAAAAACAAAATCTCAGAGATTTTGAACAGAGTGTTGTTAGAGTATAACTTGTTAGAGTCCACATAATCTTGAAACAAAAACAAAATCTCAGAGATTTTGAACAGAGTGTTGTTAGAGTATAACTTGTTAGAGTCCACATAATCTTGAAACAAGAACAAAATCTCAGAGATTTTGAACAGAGTGTTGTTAGAGTATAACTTGTTAGAGTCCACATAATCTTGAAACAAAAACAAAATCTCAGAGATTTTGAACAGAGTGTTGTTAGAGTATAACTTGTTAGAGTCCACAGATTTGATTTTGATTTGGAAATTCTGGTAAAGATAAAGTGATCAACAATAAAAAGATTTGGTTGGTAAAACAATTCAGATTATCGGACAAACAAATCTTGTCATAAGAAAGGCTCAAGGTCCTACCTTCCCGGAGAATCACCATTTGCATCAAAACGGACCGTTTCGTTGTTCCAGGAAAAGGTGACGTTCATGAGATACTGGAGCAGAACGGAGCCGTTTATCGGAGTCATGGCAGCACACAACCCATGAGTAGAATTACACATATCTCTCTGCATGTTGTGAAGTCCATAAGCCATTGTATAAATTGCCTTCTTCACAAATTCCATTTTTGTGTCCTGCTTGTAACCATGATCTAGTCTTTCATTGCCTACAAGAGAAATAAATTTTTCGAGATCCTCACGTCTGGAAATATTTAAGTCCATACAACCAGCATATGGTTAAGATTCAAGGTTAAGTTGTAAATATTTCCTATATAACATTTGATATCGTTAGAATGTTTGTTTGTTTTTGAATTTCGCGCAAGGCTACACGAGGGCTATCTACGCTAGCCGTCCCTAATTTAGCAGTGTAAGACTAGAGGGAAGGCAGCTAGTCATCACCACCCACCGCCAACTCTTGGGCTACTCTTTTACCAACGAATAGTGGGATTGACCGTCACATTATAACGCCCCCACGGCTGAAAAGGCGAGCATGTTTGGTGTGACAGGGATTCGAACCCGCGACCCTCAGATTGCGAGTCGAGTGCCTTAACCACCTGGCCATGCTGGGCCTCGTTAGAATGTTAAATTATCATTATGGCGTGTTGCACTAAACATTGTTAGAAGGTTAAGCTATCAGTGTCTGTATGTTTCACAAGATATCTTTAAAAGCTTAAGTTATCAGCGTCTGTATGTTTCACAAGATATCTTTAAAAGCTTAAGTTATCAGCACATGGTATGTTACACTAGTAATCTTTATAAGGTTAACTTATCAGTAGATGATATCTTACACTAGTAATCTTTATAAGGTTAAGTTATTAGCACATAGTATGTTACACTAGTAATCCTTATAAGGTTAAGTTATCAGTAGATGGTATGTTACACTATAAATCCTTATTAGGTTAAGTTATCAGTAGATGGTATGTTACTCTATAAATCCTTATAAGGTTAAGTTATCAGTAGATGACATGTTACACTAGTAATCCTTATAATGTTAAATTATCAGTAGATGGTATTGTTACGTCTCCGCTTGTTAATTGATTTTCGTAACTTCGTTCCGACAAAACTTTAACGACACAAGTCTTTACTTAATAAAACTGGTTTATTCTTTCCGAATATAACTTTACGATACACTTAATTTCAATATTCACGCTAAAACAAACACAACAACGAACGAACGTTAACTTCAATAATACGTCTCTCTCTGACCGCAGTTCAATTACACATTACATTATTCTCCCGTCACGTTGTCACCATCTTTCATATATACCAGACTACCCTATCTAGTAAATGCTAGAGCATTCGTCAAGGTACAGGATAGTTCTAGAAATGTGGCGTCACAGTAGTCAT